CAGACGACATGATTTGCCAGTTGCAGTGCTCTTCGGCTTTTTTAGACGGAAAGGCTCCATTTATCCTGCAGGATGCTAATATTCCATCCGATTTCCCCGCTTTTTTAATATGATCGGCATTTCTTCGACTCAACCAGGAAATTCTCCGCATATTGACAGTGCTCAAATAACGTACCACAGGAACTGCGCCGAATTGGGCTATTGGCCCGTTAGCATAAAGAATATAAATGCCTCTCTAGCTTGACGGATTTGAGTCTATTGTCCACAGGCAAGATGGAGTCTATTGTCTCGCTTCTCTTACTTTCGCCAGCCCTCGCGGCTGGTTCTCTTTATCCACGCATCGACAATGGCCTGGCTAAAACGCCACAAATGGGGTATGTTATTCCTGCTGAAGATTATCATTTACTGACTGGCCAGGTGGAACTCGTACAACTACTACTCATGCTCGCCTAATGAAGCCATAATACGCTCCAACGCTAAAGCGCTCGTCGATCTAGGACTCGCCGAATTAGGCTACCGCTATGTTACGACCGACTGTGGCTGGTCAGTAGCCGATCGGCTGCCGAATGGCACCTTGACCTGGAACGCGACCTTGTTTCCGAGCGGGTTCCCCGCCATGGGAAATTATCTTCACGAATTAGGACTGCTGTTCGGCGTTTACGGGGACTCGGGAATCAAGATGTGCGGGACAGACCATGCTGGCAGCTTGAGTAAGTCCCATTCATCCATGATTTTTGCCTTGGCTAATGTAGCAGACCACGAAGAACAGGATGCGAAAACGTTCGCTGAGTGGGGAGCGGATTCGCTCAAGTGTATGTCTGTCCCTTAGAGATAGAGCCCCACTGATCGTGTAGATGACAACTGCTACTCGGACGCTGCCACCAACTACCCCAATGTCAACTACGAGCCCAGCACGTCTCCTCGTCCCCGCTACGAGATTATGTCGTCTGCCCTCGCCCGTGTCGGCCGACCAATCCTCTTCCAGATCTGCGAATGGGGTATCGACTTTCCTGCTCTTTGGGCTCCTGCGCTCGGGAACTCCTGGCGCATCGGTAACGACATTATCCCCGCGTGGCGAAGTATCTTCCGCACGCTGAACCAGGCCGTTCCCAACACGGATTTTGCTGGTCCCGGTCAGTGGCCAGATCTGGATATGCTGTATGTGGGCAACGGGATTTTCTCGGTCCCGGAGGAGCAGACGCACTTCTCGCTGTGGGCGATTCTGAAAAGCCCATTGACTATTGGAGCGGCGTTGAAAGATGATAAGAATAGTATCAGGCAGGCATCGTTGGAGGTGCTGAAGCAGAAGGATGTCATTGGGTTTAACCAGGATGCGCTGGGAGTCAGTGCGAGTCTGAAGCGGAGGTGGTCGGATGAAGGGTATGAGGTGTGGAGTGGACCACTTTCGGGCAACAGGACCGTGGTGGCGGTCATCAATTGGCGGAATGAGTCGAGGGATCTCACGCTCGACCTGCCTGATGTTGGCCTGCAGTATGCACAAGTTGCCAGGAATATTTGGGGAAAGACCACGGTTCGTGATGTGCGGACATCGTACACCGCGAGAGTGGCCGGACATGGGACGATGCTTCTGGAGTTGCAGGGTACCGTCCCGTCAGGGTCATATCCAGCCAAAATCTTCGCAAAATCTACGGGCCAAAAAACCACTTTCGAGTCAATCTACGCAGCTACTACCGGCGCAAACTACGAGTTGGCCATCATGTTTTCCCGACCATCCACCGAAACCGTCACCATCACGACCTCTTCTGGCCAGACCGTCTCTATCTCCGGCAAATCCACCAAAATTGCGCTGACGGCTGGATCAAACACCATCACCATCCAGCACAAGACCCCTATCGAGTCTATCCAGATTACCCCACCAACCGGCACCTACTACGGCAGCACAGTCTTCAACGTTACCGGCAGCGCCAAGCACACCACCTGCAGCTCGGGGTGCAGCCCCGTCGGCTCGAAAATCGGCGACCTCACGCCCAGCAGCAACGCCTACACGTCGATCCCAGCGACCACCCCGGGGTCCAAGTACCTCGCGATCGACTACATCAACAACGAAGTCGCCTTCTCGTCAAGCTGGGGCTGGGGAGCCAACTCGCGCAATCTGACCGTCAGCATCAACGACGGGGCTCCAGTGCGACTGGAAGTCCCGCTGAGCGGACGGCTTAGCGAGCTGTATTCGCCTGGCAAGGGCTGGTGGGATACAGCGACTCTGGGGGTTCTGACCTCCGGATGGAAGAAGGGGGAGAATAAGGTGGTGTTTGGTAATCAGGGTGGGCAGGACGGGTTTCAGACTTATGCGGCGGATTTTGTGGGTGTTAGGGTTTTGGACTAACAGATCAAGTCTATATCTGCTGATGATTCTGACGTTCTAATGATAAATGAGCTGCCAAGAATTAGCCTTGTCTCCACAGCCAAGTAATAACTATAACTCGTATTTGTCTTAGTTCCTCCACAGTTCTCCACTGGAGACCGGAGCTGCCCCGTGAGCCATCAGGAAAGTTAGAACGAGCTTGGCCTAATTGCGGAACCGGAGTTAGCCAGTTGACAATTGACAGCTATAAATGCAGCTTATGCATCGATCAGTCTGAGATTCTCTCCAATTTTCGTCCACGTTCGTCCCGGAAATCTGTACGGTATGGCAACGACAACAACTACTACCAAAACATACTCTCAAAATGAAGACAACAACGAACTCGCCAATATCCAACTCGAGAGATCACATCCCCCACCAACAGGAAATGTCTTCCCCGCTATCGAACGATGGAACCATCCCAAGACAAACATCTACAAGACCCTCGCGACCTTCTGGGGATTTCTCGTCATGGGCGCGAATGACGCCGCATACGGTGTAAGCTAAGCCTCTTCCTGCATTTCATTCATTTACATGATAACTGACAATGCAATAGCCACTAATCCCCTACGTAAGTCTCAGTTTCATACTCACCAACTGAAGTATACTGACAGCGACAGCTGGAACAACACTACTCCCTCACCTACACCATCGTCTCCCTCGTCTTCCTCTCCCCGCTAGGCGGATACGCCCTCGCCGCCCTAACAAACAACCACATTCACCTGCGCTTCGGCCGGCGCGGCGTGGCCATCATCGCCCCCTCGTGCCATGTCCTCGCCTACATCATCAACTGCCTGCACCCGCCGTACCCCGTTCTCGTGGTGAGCTTCATCTTCGCCGGGTTCGGCAATGGGCTCGCCGACTCGGGGTGGAATGCCTGGATCGGTAATATGGCAGACGCAAACCAGGTGCTGGGCTTGCTGCATGGGTTCTACGGTGCCGGGGCGGTACTTGCGCCGCTGGTTGCTACGGCGCTGGTTACGAAGGCGGGGGTGGGATGGTGGTATTTCTATTATATCATGGTTTATATCCTCCTCTGTCCCTGGATGGAAGTGCAGATGAGCTGACGGTGGTAGATTGGCTGCGCGGTCATCGAGCTGGTGACCTCGGTCTACTGCTTCTGGGAGGATACCGGCGCGGTCTTCCGACGAGACACGCAGCATTCGACTGGTGGCACCGGCAGCGGCGGGGGCAGCCTGCGCAAGGCGCTGTTCACGAAACGCGCAGGCCGGATAACCTGGCTCTGTTCGGTGTTCCTGCTGCTGTATGTCGGCGTGGAGGTCGCGCTGGGCGGGTGGATCGTCACATTCATGATGCGCGTGCGGCACGGCGAGCCGTTTGCGAGTGGGATGGTGGCGACGGGGTTCTGGTTGGGGATTACGGTGGGCCGGGTAGTCCTGGGGTTTGTGACTGCGAGGGTGGGTGAGAAATTGGCCATCTCTGTACGTCCCCTTTCAATCATTGGTTCTGATGAGTGCGCGTGCTAATGCTGCGCAGATCTATCTCGTCTCCTCCATCGTCTTCGGCCTCATCCTCTGGCTCGTTCCAAACTTTTACGTCTCCACCGTGGCCGTCTCGCTGCAGGGCTTCTTCCTCGGTCCGCTGTTCCCTGCTGTCGTGGTCGTGGCGACCAAATTGCTGCCGCGTGGGTTGCACGTTACTGCGATTGGCTTTGCGGCTGCATTTGGAGCGGGAGGCGGCTCAGTGCTGCCGTTTGCTGTGGGGGCAATTGCGCAGGCCAAGGGGGTCAAGGTGTTGCAGCCGTTTGCGATTGGCTTGCTGGGGGCGATTATGGGGTTGTGGATGTGTTTGCCGAGGATTCCTGCTCAGCATGAAACTTAGCTAGCGATCAGAAGCGTGCATATCTGGTATCTAAATGGTGATGTGGGTCAGTGGTTGGGCGTTTTGCCGTTTCGGGATGAGCTGGAGTAGGTAGTTGGGCGTCTTTCCTGTTTGGGTATATTGCCCAACTTTCATCACTGCCCTGTCCATCATCCATCAGCTGAGAGGATAGAAACACGAAAATGTGTTTTCCTTTACCTTCAGCCGCTAAGTTCTCGTATTCCTAATCCACTGTTGTAAACTATTTCGAAAAGCTTGGACCTACCCAATACTGTCTAAGCCTCATGATCCAGTGCTTGAAGGGTCCGTTGAAGAATCGAACACTCGCATGCTATTTGAGATTAAGACAGAAGGATGAGTCACTGGACTAAAGGATTCTGGTCTGCGGCATAGCAGCCGCTTGCTCCCGTCAGCCACGGGTAGGATAATAGATCAATACGATTCCGACCTTCATCCGGTGGGTATCTAGAGAGGTACAGCATGCTAGCATACTGGCCATGTAGATACACAATATGCAATCAAGAACTTTCACACTTGCAGAGACTGTAGGAATTAGTTTATTTCTTAACCAGTTCTGGTCCATTGCATTCACCGCAGCTGCAGATCTTGCAGAGTAATTATTGTATAACCGTCCACAGTTAGAAATACCTTCCTTTCCAAGGCTGTAATATGGGTATATCTCTATATGGTAGAAATAACAAACGAGATATACTGTGTGATATGAATCTAAGGCAACTGTATAATTATTGGAACTCATGGTTGGTGGACAGCCCTAGTATAAGAATGAATTTGTCCCTCATTCAACTTCTGTTATATCAGGGCCGCGGGATACAGATGAACTGGTCCCAGAAGTTAAAAGGCCTCGGAGAGGATGATTTGCAACAACTTTTTTGACAGGTGACAATTGCTCTTGTCTTTGATGTAAGGAGATCCATTCTTCCTGTGTCTGGTTGGTGACCATAACTTCTGCTGAGCATTCTGCTGGAATTTCTTGACTTTGGTCATATTCTGCTTGGACAATGCCTCGAAGTTGCTGCAGTGGTAATGAAGAATAAGTTCCCTTCCACTCATTAAGGAGCCGCGATGAGTATTTGGTGTCTGGGTGGTCAAGTCCCAATGATCTGCTACGGAGCTCAACGCAGTCTTCCAAAGGCATAGCATCCTGGATCTTATCTTGGGACATCCAGGTGTGAGCCAGAAGGTCCATGGTTGTCAGAGTGCTAGGATGTTCAGGTCCTAGAACCTTCGATTGACCTTCTAGCGCTCGCTGATACATAGCTTCAGCCTCTTCATACTTGCCCTGTTGTGCAAGCATTGAACCAAGATTGCTAACACTAGTAAGAGTGTCAGGATGCTCAAGTCCTAGAACCTTCCCACAGCCTTCTAGTGCTCGTCGATACATAACCTCAGCCTCTTCATACTTGCCCTGTCGTTCAAGAACAGAACCAAGGTTGGCCATGCTGGTGAGAGTGTACAGATGCTCAGGCCCTAGAGCCTTCCCATAGCCTTCTAGGGCGCGTCGATACATGGCCTCAGCATCTCCATAATTGCCGTGTCCTTGTTATGCTGACCCAAGGTTGCTGACAATGGTGAGACAGTCAGGATGCTCGAGTCCGAGAGCTCTCTGTCTGATTTCCAGAACATTGGTAAAGGAAATTTCAGCCTCATTATATCTCCCGTCACTCTCCAGGCATCCGCCTATCCTTGAAAGAAGTCCATAGTATTGATGCCGGAATCTCCGAAATTCTTCACTGTATGTTAGATAAAGCGCATGTGGTAGGTGTTCTCTCCATATTCGTCGATTGCCATGGTCAATATCGGAGAAGACATTATTTAACTGGCATGCTGCTCTTTCTACTAAAATATCAAGGGTCTGGCCTATTCTCATTCAATTTTGAGTCGCAAGATGCACAAGTTGATGAAGACTAAATAGGCTATCACGAGTCTGTGCAGTGATAAAGGAATACGCCTTGAGAAGACCTATTGCCTCTGCTTGTTCTCTTGGTGAAGCTGCAGGTGGAAGAATGGACTGCGGGATATCTCATGGATCAACACAAGCCATGAATGACAAATAGTCAGCTGCTAATTGATCGAGTTGCTGGATTTGCATGAAAGAGATCCACCAGGTTATTGCTACTGGGTTCTGAATCTCAGCGTAGCGTCCATCGTCCTCGAATTCCTCGCTTAGTATTTCAATTGTGCTTCTCTCTTGCGCACCTAACAATGACAGATACCCAGATAATGAAATTCTGTTTTTGTTGATACAAGCTGCAGCTTGACTAATTGCAAGTGGGAGAAAGCTAAGCCCCTTAAGGAGTGCAGTAGTTGCACAATCATCCTGTAGCAGATCCTTCCCTAACAGTAATTTTTCCAATATCTCTTTTGTGCTTTTAGGATCCATCTTGGGAATGGATATCACATTCAGTGACGCCAACCTCACTGCTAGCTTTCGGTTACGCGTAGTAAACAGCATATGGCTATCTTCACTCTTGGGGAGAATGTCCTTAAGTAGCGGCGCAGCCGCGCTTCCCTTGGTCCAAATCTCCATATCATCCGCCTTGTCGAAAATAAGAAGCCACTTCCCAGCGCGTTCATGACTGAGGAAGGCTTTGACTTATTCTTTCACCTCTGCTGGCTTTATGTTCATTATGCCTAGGCTCAAGGTAATGTTCAGATAAGTCTGTTTAATATTTTCATAGCTGGTACACAGGATCCAGAAAATTGAATCTCCAGGGACCTTTTCTTATGTGTGATAAGCCAGCTCCAGCACAATTTAGGTCTTCCCAATTCTGCCCAGTCCATAAATATCAGTCTTTGTCGGTCCCCTTGAGTAAATAACTAATTATTCAAGGCGGTTGATCTCATTGTATCAGCCAATAAATCATGGATTTCTCACAAAGGGGACCATCCAGCAGCTTCTTTCCTTCTTACTTAGATCATTGCTGGACAGACAAACCACTTGGAGAAGAGCTCTGGCATAAGCAGCTATAGTAAGCGCTGCATATCCCTGCCATTGTTTATGTTTATGCGAGTCGCAATAGCCACAAATTCCTCGGATGACTAGGCATGGTAACTGATCCATCAATCCCACTGCCTCCATTTCAAAGCAGAGGATGCCCAGCACTTGGGCGATATCGGCTCGTATTCTAGCATTTTTCATAGCTTGATTCCCAGAAGCAATCAACCCATAATGAATGAGCGGCTCATCGGTTTCTCGTAGTGTACAACTACTAGCTGGGATTGATCACAATCATCACATGATGAACCGTCGGCGATCTTGCTTTCATGGTTATAGCCTGGTTTAAACAGCCAGTCTTGGTCTGGCCAAGAGAACTGTTTCTGCATCATTTAGTGCTTCTAGACTATCTCCAATATACCTTTCTTGATGGATGAGTCCCTAACCATGTAATCACTGCGTATTTGTGAGACTGTGGTGAGCAGGTATTAGGGGGGTTTATTAAGTGACCTAGTGTACTGCAGACATCCATCACAAAGTATCTTTCCATAGTCATATTAGATCATGCCTCTAGATGCCATAGTTGGAATGCTAATAACAACATCACTAAGGTGAATATCAGCATTTTTGCTGGGAACTCCGCCCCCGATGCCTACCATCAATCCGAATCTAAGAGAAGGGAACATCAATAACATGTGAGCAAGCACAATTGCAGCAGATGTGGTTCTGTAGGTTTCTAATGAGAGACAGGCAACTACAACATTGTGACTAGTAACATTCCCAAGTGTATAGGCGTTGTGATCAGTTGCAGGCTGAGGCAGTGGAGGATGAGCCTTATGAAGCATGGTCTCCAGCGGCAAGGCGCAGATCCATGCTACGGTGTAGTCGTCGTGTGTGAAACTCATTCTTGTACTCAGAGATAACCGAAGGACGACATCTGCTAACTTTAGACGCCTGAAAGAATAAGCATGGTTGGAGTGATCCAGTGGAAGAGTTGAACTGTCAGGCTGAGGTGGTTGAGATGGAGGGGAAGGCTGGCAGCCTCGTCACTGCCCTTCTACAACCAATGGTTTGTTCAGGAATAATGTGACGAGCAGACAAGGAAAGAATAGTATATAGTGTCTTAGCTAGTATATATGATCAAGATTCCATATCGTCCTATGGATAAGTGTATGTTGGATGGAGAAAGTTTAGGTGGAAATAATATAAGGCATGCACTATTGATAAGCAGCAGAGTATGGCAGCCAACTCACATCTGTTAGCTAATGCTTCCTGCAAGTGTCCGTAGCTCCTTCCAAGGCAGAAGAACCACTACGAGCATACAACGGATTAGTATCAATTGTTCCTGTTTGGTCCTTGTCGACGGGTATACAAGTCATATATGTCACCAAGCCTCCTACAGCGTAGCTACTCCTCTTCAGATCCAAGCAAGCAGACTCGCACATAGTCCATCCATTTGAGACTCAGCATAAACAGAACACCATATCCCAGCATATCCACATCCATAACCATATCCACCCATTACCAGAAGCAAGCAAAGCGCAGCACTCAGGTCAAACAAGCATCCCACAAACAAGCAACACCACCAACCCGACCCCCAAAACCGACACCCGTTTTCCCCCAGCACCACTATCCCTCGTCGCACTCGCGCTCGCCCCCGTCCTCGTTCCCGTACTCGAGGCACTGGAACTCAGACTAGCCGTCGCTGTCGCATTCAACTGCCCCCCACAAAACACATCTTTGTTTCCTCCATTCTCCTTAATACAGTCCAGCAGCTTGCCCATGCTGTGCCCCTGCGCCAGACAGTACATGTCGCACCCGTCGTTGTATTTCGTGACGGCTGCCGGGGTACAGCATTTGTCCATTATGGAGGAGTAGTTCCCTGTGGCGGGGAGGGCGCACGCGACATCTTGCACGGGGAGGACCCAGCGGTTGCCTGTGCAGGTTGATGCTGCTGCTGTCCCTGTGGTGGTGGATAATGATGTTGAGGTCATTGTTGTTGTAGCCATGTCAGCCATGTCTGTATTTAGTTTTGGTTAAAGTGGAGGTAGAGTAGGTGTGGATGTAGACTGGTGGTCGTATGTGCAGCTGTTTGTATAGGTGAGAACAGAAGAATTAAAGAACAGAGCACTCAGACTGCAGTTATAAACTGAAATAATCAGAGAATCTTATGACAACAAACAAAGAATGTCAGAGCTGGCACAGCATATGATTAGCCATGCGCAGCCAATCAGGTGGGTTGTCCGGGTATCCGAGTGCTATATTTAGGCATTCTGGGGTTGATCCACGTCGTTTGTGGAACTCTATCGTCCTTGAATATTGCTTGATTGACCTAGCAGAAGATTCTAGTTTTACTCGGTGGATAAATAGGCTCCAGAATTTGATGCGTGAGTAGTTTGGTTGTTTAGGGAATCTACTAGTGATGTCATTAGATAGCAGGATACAGGGTATGATGAATATAAAGGCATATTCAGTGCTATGGCAGAAGACGAGTATGTCTAAATAGCCAGTTCTAGAAGGTATTAGTGGTTAGAACGACAGCAAATCCCAGAGAATGACATAACAGAATATGTACTCGGCTCTGATCTTCAAGCTACTGTCTCTATACAAATTAGATATCTGATATGAGTGCTGTACGCAAATCAATCAGAAGTCTTAACAATATTAACCCTTGTAAAAAACTATCATACATCCATCCACTCATAGCATTATCATGACTTCTACTCCATTCTTTTCTTCACCCCCTCCAACACCTTCCTCGCCCACTTCTCCCTCCTCTCAAACCCCCCATTAAACAACCCAGGTAACACCCTCTTCGCATTCGCATGCTCCTCGTCAAACACCGGCCCCTCCCATCCCTTCTGTCTGCACATCTCAACCGCCTCCTCCAGCAATCCAACCCCCACCCCTTTCCCCCTGTACCGCCTCTCAACCGTCCACGCCCGAATAACCCCGTCCACTTTTCCCTTCTCGGCAGGAACCCCACGCAGCACAACCGCCCCAATAATCCTCTCCCCGAACTTGGTTACCAGAACCTCCTGCTCCTCCCCTTGCCCCTGTTCTTTAGGGTCAGTGGGACTAGGAAAAAGCCACTCCCATTTTCCAACCCTCTCTGCCTCCTCAATATAACCCCCCGTCAACCCCCTCACAACCAACAACCCCGCCATCACGCACCCCGCGCTCGTCGTCCCGATGAGCGGGAGGTCAGACGAATCGGTGTACAGCGCTTTATAGACAATTGCGATCACCGCGGCCATGGCCGACAGCCAGAGCGGGTGGAAGATGAGTGCGCGCGCGGCGGTTTGGCGCTGTTGCGCGACGGAGTCGGCGATGAGGTGGAGGGCGGGGATGAGGTCTTCTTTTATGGTGGCGGGGTAGGTTTTTAATTCCGGGATTTCTTGCGGAGCATCTTCATTTTGGTTTTTGGTGGCCGTGGCCGTTGTGGTCGTTGTTGTTGGAGACATTTTGGATGGTTTTCAGTGTGGTAGGTGGCGAGGTGGAGGAATGAAAGTAAGTGAGAAAGAGTTGAGACGGGGATGGAGGTATTTAAGGATAAAATTCAGAACGCCACTTGACCTCTTCGTTTGCCCTAACTAGGTTTGGAATGAAAATTGGGATTGTAGATTTTCCTTCTCGTGATTAGAATCTAATCTGTATAGCTTCTTTTTGGTAGATTTTGTTGGGTGTGCCCAGTGTTGTCTCGTGCTTTTTTAGAGTTACGCGGATCTTAGATGCATAGATGGATGATTAGAGTACATTAACTATGGGTCTATACAAAGGAATGGCTGAATTATGCACAGTCATGACATAGTCATCTATCCAAGATTCTAAGATCCAAGATCATCTACTAAACAGCCGCAACGGTCGAATTGTCCACCTTCTTCTCTGCCTGGATCATGGGAGAGTTCTGCACCAGGGTATCACTCTCATACTCCTCCCCGGACAACTGCTCCAGGGTCTTGCGCTTGGTCTCGGGAATGAGCAGGGTGGTGAAGCAGCCGCACAGCATGAACAGAGCAAAGATCTGCATGACGTGGTTGAGCCAGGGGGATTGCGAGGGGTCCTTGGCGCCCTTGTGCACCAGAGGGCCAAACACACACTGCGCGATGATGGCGCCGACCTTGCCGGACGCGGCGGAGATACCGTGCGAGGTGGACCGGTAGCGGGTGGGGAAGCACTCGCCAGGCACGATGAAGGTGGTCGCGTTGGGGCCGAAGTTGAAGAAGAACTGCGCGACGACGTACAGACCCAGCAGACCGTTGTTGGATTTCTTCAGTGGCTCGTAGGCGAAACCGATGACGATGAAGACAATGGTCAGGATGATGAAGCCGAGCAGCTGGATGGGCTTGCGGCCGATGGTGTCGACGGTGGCCACGGTCATCCAGTAGCCGGGGATGGCACCCGCACAGATCAAGATGAGGTTACCGACGGCGTTCTTGTAGAAGACCTCGTAGACATTCTTGCCGCCGCTCCAGCCGATGGCACTCAGGATGATGGAGTTGTTGAGACCAAGACCATAAAACGCTATTGATGTTAATATCATCACAGACAGCTGGGCAGGTGACGAGACTTACCAACGTCGAGGAAGAACCAAGAACCGGCAGTACCGAGGAGGATACTTCCATTCTTCCACTGCAAGTAGTGGCGCCAGAAATCAGCCCAGCTGGCCTTGGGGGTCACGTCACCGGCGTGGTTCTGAAGGACGGACTGGCGGCGCATCTCGTCGGGGTGACCCTCGTGCTTGCCGCTCATATAGGCACGGACGTCCTCGTCGGCCTTGACAATGTCGTGGGCAACATCGAAAGTGTAACGGGGGGTTTCGGGGATGGTGAGACGGTAGTAGAGGGCGATGCAGGCAGGGACGGCACCAAAACCGATGACCACACGCCACATCTTGTCGACAGCAAGCTGGCAGACACCGGAGCACTTGCCAACGGAGCTGGCAGTCTCCAGAGATTCCTTGAAGCCGGCAGTCACAATCAGAGCAATAATGGCCGCGGCGAATTGACCGAAACCCTGCATGGCAAACACGGAGCCCATCATGGCACCTCTCCACTTTGTGGTAGCAAACCTGGACAGAAAATTGTGTCAGCGAAAGCCCAACAGCAGCGAAAGTTCGACAGGTAGGAGGGGAACATACTCAGAAGTAATGATAGAAGACAGAGGGTAATCGCCACCGATACCAATGCCCATAATAACACGCCAGAAGATGAGAATGCCAACGATGGAGATAGCACGCGAGTCCGAGGAGAGAGCCTGAGCCAGAGTGGCCATGATGATGATCATCAATTCAATACCGTACATACGCTTACGACCGATGCGGTCCGCAAGCCAACCGAAAAATAATTGTCCAATCACAGTACCACCAGAGGTAGACACCTTGATGGCAGTATCCGCGGTCGAGGGGATCTTGCCGGGGCTGGACTTGGCGTCCTGCCAGAAGACAACACCCAGCATGCTGGAAGCCAGGTTGATGGCGAAGATATCGTAGGAGTCAGTGAAGAAACCCACACCGGCAACGACAACGGCGCGGACGTGGTACCAGCCGAACTTGGCATTGTCAATCTCGGCCAGAGCTTGACGACGGCGCTCTCTGGGATCCTCCACGTGAGCCAACTCATTGTTGTAGTTCCGGAAGGCGGAGTTACCGCCTCCTGTAGAAGCCATGGCTGGGTTGGTTAAAGGAGAGTAGAAAGTATTAAAGAAGTATATTGAATAAAAAGACCACGCCAGGCAGGGGCTCAGAGTCGTCGAAACTAATCCTCGAAAGATACGAAGGAACTTCGTGGTCAAGGATGGGATCAACCCCCTTATGTAGAGTACAGAGGGTAACCAGATGAAGGCGTTTTTTAGCGTAAATGGCTCCCAGCCCATGAACAAGAATAAACGAAGGCTGCAACGAATCGAGGCCGCGAGATGGAGCACGGTAGTGAATCTGGAACCCTGCCATGTTCGTGTCAACCACTCCGGTCACTAAGGTATGTCACTCTGCGCGCATGTGTGAAAGTCAGGGAGCCACTAGTAGAGAGACTTAAGCTTGCCTAAGCTTCATCAAGACCTTTGCCCAGACGGCCGACGCTGCTTTTTTACTCTTGGTAGGCGTCACTGAACTGGTCATTTAACCCGTATAGAATCTGGTCTCTGATTGGTTCGGGCTGTCCAAGATGTCAAACCTTTCGGCCAGTATACAGCCAATCAAAACGTCAGCTTGTAGAACATGCTCAGTTCCGCCCTGCTGAGTGGCCAGGGACCCACAGCTGGGCCAAGAACATCGGTGCCTCGAGGGCGTTTGATGGCTTGTCAAGTTCTCCCCATCTCAGCCACTTCGTGCTCTCTCGTTTAAGTTCTGCTTCACTGCTTCCAGGGTTACAGCCAAATGACTTCGAGCTAGCACCTCACCATGTCAATGAATGAGACGCTGCCGTTGTCGCACGTGCTATCCTTCCACACTATGCAAGTGACTTGGACCTCCTTGAGTCAGCCTGTTCGGGCGTTGACCCTGGAACAGCAGAAGCAATATGATGGAATATCAGCCATTCACAGGCAAAGAGATCATGATACATGCGCCATGCTGATGCAGGACTAGCAGAAGAAGGGACAAAGAATTTTCTGCGTTCGAACATTCCATCCCTTGCGCTGGGGCGAGGCATACGCACGTGGACTAAAAGATGTTCTAGAAGGTTGCCGCTGTACATGCCTACGTGGAGTGCTCGTGCCTCGGCCACTTCACTCAGCTGATTTGGAAGTCTCTGATGGAGGATATGCGCCTAGCGCGGCGACGAGTGTGCCCTGCCTGAACAGCTTACTCTTGCATCGGGGATCGCCGCAACGGATCTGGTCTGAAATTCAATTCAATGCTTTATATTATTGCTAGTTTCCATATCAAAACCCGCAACGAGTCAACCACAGGAATTGCTTATCGCCAAGTACACTACAGCCATGGCAGTGTAGCTTGAAGCAGAACAAGCACTTGCCAAGTTGTTAGCAGTATCTGAACCCAGACGCGATGGACGTTGAAAAGGGCTTCACGGACATCTGTCCCGAGATCCGCCTTGGCTGGAATGAGGGCTGATGCAAGCGGCGAGTCGGAGTAGATTTCCGATTGGCATGACATTGTATAGTTGCACCTTACGGTATACAGAGTAGACGGTGATTACAAACTGGACTTGACATAACTTGCAGTAGCTAGATATGCAATATCGAGATCTCTCGTCTCCACAGCCATGTGGAACTGGAGACGGATGGATATACCGTTGTTCGTACTAACCTCGATCGTCAGGTACAATGCCTATTCAAGTAACGCTACATCTCATCTACGATTTAGGTGCGATACCTTCATAACCACGTTATGTGCAATGTCACTGACACTATCCAAATACATACCTCTTTATAACATCATTGGAACTACCTTCATCCACGGAAACACCATCATGTCATACCACATCATCACACATAGCACATAGCATGTAGGGTAGCACATCATCATTATCAAATCAAGTGGCGTCTCCTCAAGCTACTTAAACCCCTGCCCTAGGCCTACACACGACTCACCAGAGACACATGATACATGGTACTTGATACTTGATACATCCATTACTAGACCATCAGACAAACACAACCCATGCCCCGATCCCGAAGCCGAAGCCGCGAGCCCAGCGAAGGCCGCGATCCCGAGAATGTAATGCGGGGATACAAAGCGTACGCTTCATCCGCCAAAACAAAGAAAGCAATCTGACGAATAGCAGCACGCTCCGGAACCCAAACGTCTCGAATGAGGCCAAGCAACACGCGCAGCAGGAGCTCGATAGATACGAGAGTGGTGACGCCACCAGCAGAAGCGAGGAGGATCGGCATGCGTCGAATGTGAAGAGGGGGTTGAAGGCGTATGTTGTTTTTGATGAGAGTTGAGCGATAGCGTCAGTGCTGATGCTGAACAGGGCAACGCATAATCCCAACGTTACAGACATGGGGAAGAAGCAGGCGAGGGATAAATTGCAGGTGATGGGGGAGCAGCCTGATCAGCCGGGTGATTAGCTTTCCACTCTCGGAGTATATCTTGTACACTATGCACATGTCTGTAGATGGCTATGCAAATAGATTATATTGAGTGGTATCTAGTATATACAATTGAGGTTGAGTCTATGCTTCTATCGTGGGTGAGGATTACAATCCTCGTTTCATCTTCCAGCGCATGATGAACGCGGCAAATGGGTATAGTAGGATGGACAGTCCGATCCACACAAACAGAATGCCAAAGTCGAGTCCAATCCGGGAATGCGTGCCGAAGAGGATAGTCCGGAGCGCCTCGACAACTACACGGGTTAGACAGCCGCAACGCAATTCGAAGGACGGAAGACTTACTGCGATGCAAAGGCCAGGCATAACCCCAAGCGAAGAATCCAGGGGCCAGATCTAACGCATAAAAGCCAGTGGCGACGTTGGTAATGACCCAGAAAATCAGAAAGAGCGCACTGTAGGGAAACCCGAGGATCATCCCCATGTTCTCGCAGGGTAGTCCGAGCGCAGTCATGCCAACCCAGTTCAGCATCCAGAATATCACGAACGATCCATGTCCATAGGCGTTTGCATTGCCGGCAGGCAACGTATCCGGCGCTGGACTATTGGTGAACGGGATCTGGAAGGCCAGCGACACAAAGGAATAAAACAGCGACAGGAAAAAGTAGGCCACGATGCTCGAACACAGACGCCAGATGAGCCACTGCGCGTTTTTTAGAGGCGGATGGTCCCCCTTGATGAACTGCATATGAACGGGCATGAGGAATGGAGTGTTGAAAAAGGCGATAATGATCAGGTAAATCAAACCAATGGTCACGGACGGCGTCGCAGCAGCCGGACCAAACGGTCGCAGGTCAACTTTGTAGAAACCAATCGCCGGATTGACAGCTTGTGGCACCCGAGAGATGTCCATAGACTCTTTTGTGAGAGTCTGAATCCACCTGGGGCCAAACTCAGCAAAAACTTCCAGCTCGAACCAGGACAAGGCCGGTTCGACGTAGTTGGAATATGTGGTCTGGTCACGCGCGCTGATGATTATAAATTGAGCAGCGCCATTAGGATCGTACGACGAGTGGCCGTTGGTCACGGCTTCGTATAGCAGAGTAGTAGCATTAGGGTTGACGATGATTGCGGCATATGCATGTTCATCATAGACCCCTTGCCGGACCGCCAAAGGATCATAGTTGAAGTCTGCCGGCGATCTGATTTCATATCCCACGTGTTCCGTATCCGACTTGATGAGCCGATTCGCGACATCTGTCACGGCTGGTCCAACGATGGGCGTGATGCTCTCATTCCTGTAAGGTTCCACCTGGTTATCGAAATCGACCACCCAGACCCTCAAAGTGTGCAGTCTGTCCTCCGACCGGAATTGGACGGCCCAGTAGAGCGAAAGAATACCGAGAATAAAAACACACAACCCAAGGACTATTGAACAGTCAAATGGCTTAGTTTATATTCAATAGTCCGGGATGATAAAGTGTTCCTGAAAATGACTTACCCGTCCGACCCCAGAGGTATATGATTCGTTTCCGGGTCTCTTGTAACGCTGGATCCCAAAAGCCGACCGAGGCGGGAGCGGTGGAGGAGGGTTTAGTCTCTGGTTTAGTCTCCCGCAGAGTCTCGGTCGATTCGGTGCCGTTACCTCCAGATTTGTCGTCTTCGATCATGGTTATGAAGTGATTGTCTCAATGACATGGATAATTGAAAGATGTCAATTGTAAAAGCTCAAGGAAAGGTCAGCGATATTAATACTGCCGCAAACATGATGTGCAGCGACCGGCATCCAGTGGAAAGTCAATGATGGAATTGCTGGCTGAGAACGGCACATCCACATGGCCTTTGCACTTGGCATGATTACCCACCCCGGATGTCCGAGCACTGGCCCTCCTTCTCCGTCGTTAATTCCTGCTAACTTTGGTTCTTACTTTGCTGAGATATCAGAGACTGCGGAATTAAAAGTCGGCTTCTCAGTCTCGCTGTTCGTTCGGACTACGATGTTAGCCGTTGCTATCTCGCTCTGGTGATCTGTTTCAGGCTCGTCATAACTCCGTGCATCATATTTTGCCAGGAATCATGGTCATGAACCCAATTCAGGTCGACCGCAAACCAGACCGATTACAACGACTGATGAGATGAAGCGGTGTATGACGCAGCTGGTGTAACTTTTGATCTCAGGTACTAATAATCCTGCTTCGATTACCGAACGATATCCGAGATGTGCCATGGATCAGTCTTAATATCAATGCAACCTAAGTGTACCCTCATCATACTTCTGTATATATGTTCAGCCTGAATGACAGCTTCATTTTTGAGTTTCTAGTACAACGATGCTGCCATAGAGGCATCATCAGTAATCACTTAACAGTCATCCTTGTCTCAGCAGAGACCAAGTAAGAGATGTGGGGACATTCTAACTGTTCGAGAATTATCCCACATAAGCATGGTTGATCGACGGCTAAAAATCATGCAGGGTGCAGTCAAGTTCTGAATTATCTGTGTCTGTGGAACCATGTGTACCAGAATAATAAGCAACCATTGAATGGCACGTGTGATGCTGCATCTCTATTTTAAGCAGACTGAAATAGGCGGTAGAAAGACTATCATATTACAATAGCCTCAATAGGTGAACTATGTCCTCTGAGTAATTATCGTACTTTCTTACAACAACTTGTATCCGATTATTAGGTTTAATAGGCTTCTGGCTACAAGGAGCATGAAGATATATTATCATTCAGTTTCTTGTCTCAGAGTTCGTAAGGTATCCTTGCATAATTTTTAGCAAACCCACGTATTCAATCCCCCTTGCTGCTACTCTGTAGATTGCCTAAAATGGATATTCTTACCGTTGAGGGTAGAAGCCGATAATAAACCAAATCTTGTTTCAGCCGAGTACATGTTATATCTTAGGCAGATTCGACTTGAAATCCAAATGAAAATCTTGTTTATCAGAGTGATTATCATATCTAATATAGGTACGGAGTGGTTTAGAGGAATATTTATATATTCTGTCGCTACTTGTGCAAGTTGTCAGCTACAAGATGGTAATATCAGCAGGGACAACAAGTATAAAGTATGCTTTTAATTATCCAAATTACGGGCCAATTACATAGGCAGGTTTCATGTTAAGTCTAGCGTACAATGAACAAAGGAAAACAGAAATCATTACCATCAGCGCATATCCAGCAGTGAAACATACACCTTCTGCGAAGATGGCCAGGACATAAAAACAAGGACAGCATAGTACCCCAACAGCGGAATGCAGTAGTAAAACAATAGGAAGGGAATTGAGAAGAAAAAGGTAAAGGACAAAAGAATTAAAACGGTTAGACAGCCACGTCTATAAGTTTAGGATGCAGGCACAGGGTAGATGTTTGTACAGGCAATTCGTGTAAAAGAGACTCGTTACTCGGGCTTGCGTCCGACCATCAGATACATGGGCGTGAAGAGCTTTTTCTCACCACCAGCAACCAGGCAGTCACCGGCAATGGCGAGACTGTCGGCGGTCTTCTGTGTGCCCTTAGGGAAGAGACCAATAGTCTCCATAGCTCCGCAGAACCGATGGGCGAGACCACGACCCCACCATGTCATACGGGCAATGGTGAAGAAATCCCAAGGCGAGGTCATGTGCTTGAACGATCCCGCGAGAGGGTAGTACCACGGAATGGCATCGGGGCGATCGGCGAGATCCTCGTTGTGCAGCAGCTCGAAACCGGCGTTCTTAAAGGCAGTAAGACCTTCCGAGACCTTGACCATGTTGGAAATACCATCACCCAGCTCGATACCCAGACGGATCTTGCGATGCTCCGGGTTGTCGTTGTCGTACGCGTCGGTCATGAGCCATTCGTAGACACCGAAAACTCCACCGGGCTTCAACACACGGAAGATTTCCTTGTAGACACCCTCGAGTTCTGGGGCGTGGACGGTGGCCTCGATAGCGTAAACGGCATCGAACGAGTTGTCGGGGAACTTCATCTGCATAAAGTCGCCCTTGACGAAGCTGAGCTTATCGCTCAGTCCCTCGCGCTCGGCATACCGAGTCGCACGCTCAATCTGGTAGTCGTTGTTGTTCAGTCCAACCACGTTGGCACCGGTGAATTTGACAATCTCGCGGGCAGGACCGCCGACACCACAGCCGACATCCAGGACCTTCATACCCTCCTTGATGCCCATCTGGTGAGCCAGGTAGTGTTCATGACGGGCAATGGCTTGGTAGAAGGGTTCGCCCTGGGCAAAGCGGCAGAAATGGAACGAAGTACCCCATCCATACTCGTAAAGATCCGTGGCCAGGTTGTAGTAGCTGCAGCGACGTTAGAATAGTCCAATGGCTCCGAGCTCAGGGTTATAGGACATACTGTCGGGTCAATGTGGCATACTCGGCACGGCGGGCCTATCAAGAAGCAACAATTAGGCTAGAATTCCAGAATACCAGACGATAACAAAGATGGGTTACATACCGCGCGAGTTTCCTCTGTCTCGTCTTCAGCGGACTTGTTGTCCCAATGCTTGAAGTACTCGTCTACAGCGGCCTTCTGAGCAGCAGAGTCCTTGCCACGAAGAGCAGCAAAGCCACCCCGGGACTGGGCAGACTTTCCGTGCATTGCACGATTGAACTCGGCATCGCGCGCGTGATTCTCCTGTTCCAAAGTAGCAGGGGCCATGGCGATAGCAATTGGACTTTTGGACGTGGTAAGGGTGGAAAAGGGGTGGATCACAGATCAGAAATGAACTTGCGCAGAAAAGAAGAGAATCGAAACAACGGCCCAAGGAGGAGATTGAAGGTAAATATATCCACAGGATCACAATCTTGAAGCAAACGGACCAAGCAGGCAGAAGGGAAAAAAAGAAGGGGGGATGTGAATGTGATTATTGCCAGCGAGACAAAAATCCCAGATCAATCAAATAAGGAGGCGGAAATGCGAGTCCTGACAGAAGCCTCAGGCCAATCACGGCGGCGGTACCTGGCGACTCAGCCAAAACAGGAAGGTACTAAACCTAAAAGGGCAGTCTGGGGATGT